TTAATAATGTATTTTTAATCCAGTACATCTAAAGTATTACCATTTTGATGTATCATTAATGTGAAGATTAATATTTTGCGTTTTTTGTTGGTATTAAGTCTTCAGAACTTAGTATGTGTTTATAGCACATCTCAATTTGGATTAGCTACATTTTAAATGCTCAGTAGCTACATGTGGCTAGTGGCCATTGCCTTCGATAGCACAAATAATGAATTTAGCTGAATATTAAAAGGCCTTATTCCAAGTTAGCAGCATATCAATAATGCATATAAACAACAGGAATGATTTTTCTCAAACTTAAGTGTGACATGTCATGCTTTGGCTTTAATCCGTATCTACATTTGTTTCCAATAACTCATCTTTTATTTTTTGAATGCCTCAGAGCCTTCAAACCTGTGGAATACCCTAGGGATAGAAGGGATTAGGGGTATCAGAGGTGCTGTAGATTTCCCCAGGATCTCATAATGCCATGACTACTGCATTGTTTAACTTGAAGAATGCTGAATGTAGACTTTTTGAAAGAGAAAGTACAGTTGAGACTGTGCAGCACTAATTCAGAACCTTTAGGTTGTACCTGGTATAGGAGCACTTCCCAGGGGTTTCAGCACATCTCACTTCTTTGAGCCTGGACCTGAGTACAGAAGTAAACCAAATCTGTTGCGTTTCACAGTGTGTGAAGTCCAGTATTTTACCAACTGACATTTTGTTGGCTTACATGTATTCAGAGAAGTTGGTGATAACTGCCACTTCTACTCAGAGTTCAGACATTGAACAGATTAGAGATATTTCTTTTCCTTCAAACCAGAATACACCATTAAGCATACAAGTAGTATGGATGAACAATATTGTGTCTAGAAATTTGTGTAAAACTATCGCCAAAATGTACTCACTACTATTTTTGTAGGTATGATTTTAAAACAGTGAGCGTGGGGGTGACCTATTTGCAGAGAAAAGGGGACAGGAGACAATTTTGAAAGCTCTTGGTTTGGTGCTGTGTCTCAGACATCTGCTGTTGGGATATTTAAACTTTAGGTGTACTCAGAATAATAATCTGCAATGTATTGTCTTTAAAAAATATATTGGAATATCCCATGGTTACCTAAAGACTGAAAAGGAATTTCTCATAATTTTGACTAATGCAAATTATGGGCATGAAGAAACTTTGAATAAAAAAAACTGAAGAGCACAATTCATATATTTTTTTTCTTTTAAACCTTTTTTTTTTTTTTTTTTTTGCTGATAGCTGTCTTGAGATTATATTTACCCAGCCTACTTTTCTCTTTCCACAATAAATAGTTAACCCATATGTTCAGAGTATCAGTATCTGAAATGTCACATTTATAACTATTTCTAGAAATTCTTTATATTCTCATCAGTTTATTTGCAGTGTTTTAACATATTTTAAATCTGAGTTTGATTTTTTCAGAACAATATATATTTCTTTGATGTACAGAATGAAATAATACTACATGTCTTAAAATAGTTGTCTACTTCACTCTGATCGAACCTTGATTCCTGCTCTCCTAAGACAGCCACTTTCACCACTTTTGGCTTTCTTCTGCTCTGTACTGCCACGTTTCCAAATCACATTTTTATATTGTTGTATTATTTTTCTTATTTGACATTAGTTATCTATTAACTTCTTATTATGAATTATGAGGAATTAGCTTTTTTTACACTAACCACCACACACATTTCCATCTTTCTATCTTTCTAATATAGTAATACCAAGTTTTACATTATTATGTCTAAGGCACGTAGTATATTATGATTATATTTCCTTTATTGTACTTTTAGTTTTTACTGGTGGTAATCATTGCTTTGGGTCTTTTGTTTATTTGTTACTAGTATATGTATCACTGGTTTATTCCTGATTTCCTTTCTCAAACTATAACATTCCTCCTGATATTGTTACTATTGTAAAATACATTGTCCCTTATTAATTAACCCAGGTAATCTATATATCCACTTTTTTTTTTTTCTTGGAAACATCTTTCCTTGAGTATCTATTCTCTGCTCTAAACTTTTTCTCTAGATTTATTGCCACCCTCAGGTCCACTTCAGCCTCACTTGTAGTAGGTCCCCTTTTTTTCTGGATTCGATGTCCTCCTCTTTCTAGGTTAATTCTTCAGTTTGATAGCACACATCTTTAGTAGCTTTCTGAGTTTATAATATGATATAAATGTTTTCAGACTTTGCATTCTGTCCTCACACTTTATTGATAATTTGGATATAGAATTATAGATCAGAACTCATTTTTCCCCTCAGAACTTTGAAGGGATTACTTCAATTTTCCTCTAGTTTTCTGTGTTGCCCTTGAAAATCCCAGTGCCTTCCAAATTTTATTCTTTGTGAATGATCAATTTTGGTCTTTCTAAAACTTTTAAAGCTCTTTTCTCTAGTATTCTAAACTTAAAAAAAATATAGTGTATATAATCTAAGTACAGCAAAATGTATTTAATCTTCATGAAACAGTGAGGACAAGAAAGTAATTATACATATGGCCTCACAGTGTGTTTAGGGCTCCAGTATTTGTAGGACTGAAAGATTTTGTTTATTTCTGGCATTGGCTCAATATTTTATTAAGTGAAATGGATTCAAGGTGTAGTTCAGTACAAAGGAGACTTCCTTGGTTTACCTTAGCAGATATCTATTAAGATTCTGAAAATAAAACTTGAGCCAAACTTAACTTCTTAAATGCATTAAATAGTCATGGACTTTGTTGATGAAGGTGATGAGGTTATGTGCTATCTTCATTCTCTTGTTACTGCCCTGATTTAATACAGTTTCCTTAGAGCAGATGGTTCCATATATAGTTTTATATTGAGATGTTATGAGTTTATAATATCTTAAATATTAACAGTCCTCTTTTCATTTTATTTGTGACTGTACTTCTCTTTTGTTCTTTGTCCTCATTATAGAGAAAGATTTTGAACCAGGCTCTGCCATTAAGTCTAGAAAACTTTTCTTAAATAAATGTCCTTGCCCACTGAGCTAATCTGGTAGACTGATTTACCATTGGTATTGAGGAAACACTCAGTAGGAAAACCTATATTAATCGTCTGTATTATGACAAATTACTAATCATCCTCTCTCTAAAAAAAGTTTTACTGATGAAGTCACGGCCCATGGAGAAGCGCAAATAAACCCATTTGCTTGAAATCGGTTCCTGGGAATTTATTTGGAATAACTTTTTCAGCCTCAACTCAGGTTAAGATAACAGAATCCTCTCAGGAGATCTTCAAAAGACAGCTTAAGAGTGAAGGATGTAATAGACTGGACAAAGACATAATATTGAGTAACATACAAGTTGATAATAGGAAACATTACTAGGTTTGTTTTTTGCTTACAGCAATTGTAATTCAGAATGCCATGTTACTATTGTACAAATATATTACTTATGAGAGGATTTGAGAGAACCGAATAAATTGATCGTTGCATTCCACATAATTTTCTTTCCGCATAATTCTTCTGTTAAATTTCGTTTTCTCCAAATCAATAGAAGCTACCTTGGACTTTGTTTCTATTGACATTACTTCTTGTCTCTCTCTGAAGGCATCGTTTTAGAAACCCTCACTGTATTCTGCAGTCCATGGCAAGCAAACTGAAAGCATTAAAATTTCAACATTGAACATTTTCTGATACAGCTAAACTGCTCTGCATAAAACAGAACCTTACTTATGGGACTACATCAGAGCATTTTATGGCATTATTTCTGAGAAGAATGAAAAATTTTTTAAAATGATTATAACGTATATCTCTGATATTTTTTCAAAATATTTATTTTTAAGTTGAGAAAAATGAGATAGAGCAAAGATTTATCACCTTTTTATTAGGAAAGATGTTAAATATAGATGCCATTCCTTCGAAGTTGGAAGAAAAATCTGACATCTCAAAATCAGACAGATTTCAAGTTATAGATTTCTGAAGACAAGTTGTCAAAAAGGACTTTCTTATACCTTGTACTTAACAAAAATGAACTACAGTATAATTAAAGAGAATTGCATAGATAAAACACACACTCCTTTGATATCTTGCTGATATGAACATTCTAAAAGTTTGAGAATGGTTAGCAAATCTTGTTCTTTTGATTCATATGTTAAGACAAGACAAAACTTTATTCTTAATCTTCTGCTTCTTTAAGAATCTAAAGAGGAAATGCTTATAATAACCAAATGAATTAAGTTTTTCGTTCTACTTGAAAACTGCTTTATTTATCCTTCTTATTCTAAGATCTCCTATCTTACATGATCTTTTAAAGTCCTGTAAGATTTTGCTTGTCTTTCTGAAAGAAATCCATAGTTACCTCCCCAAAGTTTACATTTTAAACTTGCTTAAGTATCAGTCAGTGGGTTTTGGTTGGCTAACTAAATCACTTATTCTTAGCCAGACTAGTCATTTATATCAGTTTTTTTTCTTTCAGTTTTCTCATAAAAGATTAAGAGAAAACTTTGCTTTCTTGAATTCATTAGGAAAAATTCCTTTTTCATTTCTCTTTCTAAATTAGTTTGCCAACAATTGTCTATATGAAGAATATAATCTGAAAGACCATGTGGTTTACTTAACTTTCATCTAGGCTTAACTTATCAGGAAAAAAGAATGCCTTGGCATTGAGTCTTATTAGTTAGGCTTCTTCAGAGCTGGGTTTAAGCCAGTATAGAGAGTCGTTCAAAAATAGCTTTGTGTTTCTCAATAATCAAACCCTTGTTACCTTTGCCGCGCAGGGCAAACAATTTTACTCACTATGGTATGGAGAACAAGCCTGTCACATGTTTCTCTTGCTTAATAACTTGACCCTTTGCTCTTAATAATATACTTATTCAACCTCCTTTATGTCTGTCTTCTGTTGTTTTACTTTTTCCTCTATGATGATACTTTTTTGGCCTAGATTTTCTTCTGAAGGGAAGAACATTTAATAAGCAAATAAGACTTGTTGAAAAATAGGCTCTCCTTGGGTTAAATGATTAGTCTTCTTCACCGAGTCTTCCATCGTTTTCCAGGACAGTCTCCGTAAGAAGGATGACAGAATTGAAGAGCTGGAAGAAGCACTAAGAGAGAGTGTACAGATAACTGCAGAGCGAGAAATGGTGCTCGCACAAGAGGAATCAGCCAGGACCAGTGCTGAAAAACAGGTCTGCGATTTTATACAGTTACTGGCAATGCAGCTGGTTAAACAAAAGGTAAAACCCAAGCAGTGTAGTCTAGGGAAACTATACATGTTTAAAGGGTTTCAAAAATGCTCATTGAGTGTAAGTACTTAGACTTAAATAAGAATTGAAATATAACTATAAGAATTGATTTATGTTAATGCAGAGGTCTCTGCATTAATAATTTGGGACTGATTTCAGATATATTTAGGTAGTATATGCTCATATATCTGATGAGATGAAAATAGAACCTGTCTATTTGTTATAAGACTGCGCACAACCCTGCTTTGAATTTGAATGGTAAAACACAAACATTTCTAAGTTAAAGATATTAATTTTAAATAGACAATAGTTTATTTATTTTATACTCTGGTTTGTTCAAAGGAGCAGTTGAAGTTATAACAAGTTAAGTTTAATAGCAAGTAGGAACAATATAAATACCATGACCCTTGAGAGTCCCAGATCAGCATGTCTTTTTGAAGTGACTTATTAAAGAATTCTTTTTCTGTTTTCTTTATGTCTTTTTAGATCCTCATACCCTTGTTGTAACTTTCTATTAGAAAGAATAATTAGAGATGGGGGATGTGATTGGAAGAAATAGTTTTACTAGTGAAGACTCTAATCTCAAGTTCCATTCTGAGAGTGTAATGGGAGGTTTTGAGCCTGCCTCATACAGAGAGAGACGCATAGCATTTAATTTGTCAGTGATTATCTCTTTTCCATGTCTTTGTTGGAGAAATATAAATGTTAAACAGGTAAAAAAAAGTTCAGTGAGAGGGTAACATGAATTTTGGGGGGGACCTCCTTGATCAGAGCACCAGTACTTTTGTGAGTTAAGGTAGTTGCATAGCAAGGAAGAAGGGTACATTTCAAAGCAGGCATATTGTAGTATGTACCACAAGGGAACCCTTTATGCTGTGTTAGATATGAAGGTATAGTTCAAGTATAGAAAGACTGATATTAGCAAAGCTGAAAGAAAATTGATCTTTTCTCAGAATGACTATCTTTCAGTGCCCTGTCCTCAGATAAATACATGCCTTAGTCCACTTTCTTTTTGAATATATCCTAGTATACAGTTGAGTAGAGTTTGGGTAGTAGAGTGCTTCAGAGACGGCTCGGTGATAAGCCATTCTTCCAGAATGAGGAGGGATCTTCTTTTAGCTTGATTTTACATTTTTTACACATTTAATTTTCAAAATGTAACCCATTTTTTTCTTCCTATAAAGATTTCTTTCTGTTTGGGGAATCATTAGTTAGTTATAAGTCTTACATATCAGATATTCTGTGGAAATTTTGACAACTAGTAATTATGGACTATCGACTACTATTATATTTTCTTTTTAAAAGATACTGTTGTGTAAACTGGTTATAATTTTTTGGTCCTTTTTTTATCCGTTTTAATTTACACAAAATGTGAGCAGAAGATACAGAGTTCCTATACACTCCTTTCTTCATCTCAGTTTTCCCTATTATTAACATCTTGCATTGGTGTGGTACATTAAAATTGATGAGCCAATATTGATACATTATTAACTAGTCCATAGTTTACATTTTGGTTCATTCTTCAAGTTGTAATGTTCACTCTTCAAGTTGTACTGTATAATGGCATGTATCCACCATTACAATATCATGCAGAATAGTTGGACTGTCCTAAAAATCACCTATGCTCCGCCTAATCACCCCTCCCCCATCTACCCAGCGTGTGATCTTTTCCTATTTCTACAATTTTGCCTTTTCCACAGTGTCATATAGTTGGAATTACATAGTACGTAGGCTTTTCAGACTAGCTTTTTTCATTTAGTCTCTGCATTTGAGGCTCTTCCATGTCTTTTTGTGGCCTAAGAACGCCTTTTGTTTTATCTCTGAATTATATTCCATTGTATGGATGTACCACAATTTTCTTGTTTCTTTGCCTGTTGAAGAGAGTCTTGATTGCTCCCAATCTTTGGCAATTGTGAATAAAGTTTCTATAAACATTTATATCCATTAGTGTAGGCATAAATTTGTAAGTCTTTTAGGTAAGTACCTTGGAGTCTGGTTGCTGGATTGTATGGTAAGACTATACTTAGCTTTGTAAGAAACTGCGGAACTGTCTTCCAAAGTTGCTATATGTAATTTACTTTTAATTGCATGCTTTTTTTCTTTTTTATCTTTCCTGTTTATCTTTTTGCACCATTCTGATACACACTGCCTATCGGAAGCTATTGAGTGAAATATTGCATGAGACCAGTCATTTGGGCTTTAAGTGGTTTTTAAGGTATGAAGAAACTGCTTTTATGTTTATCCTTCAGGGGTTGTGTGAACTACATTCATTGTCCCCCTGCTCTCATCTTCTTCTCTTATTTTTATCTTTTTATGTCCTATAACCTCACTGTTGGTTAGCTATATGCATCAAGTATTCGTTTGAAATATCTTAAAATGGGGCAAAGCTTTTTTTGGCTAGGGACATTATTCTTATTATCTTTCTCATATCCAAAATAGATCTGTCTCTTGCCTAAATTTAGCCTCTAAGAAGAAATGACTGCCTCTGATAGGAGGAGGAGATCTGCATCTCTTGATTTCTCAAAGTGCAAAATAAAGTTGTTTGTGAACCATGTCTCTTATTAAAATAAAGTACAGAACCTTTTAAAGTTTGAGCCGGGAAAATCTCTCAGAAGAAAACACTTGTTGATGTCTTTCCTATATTCTTTATAGGATCCTCTTATAGATTCTTTGTTCCTAGTATATGCTGCTATATATTGCTCCAGATTCGAAGTTGTCTAATGATCCAATGAAGGAAGATGTCTTCTAAACTATGTTGACCAATAGAGAGATAAAAGGGAATAATCCTATGCGGAAACCCCAGGGTTTCTTTCCACATGATTTTCTTCTTCTGAAACTTCTCTCTATTCAAGTTTTGACAGGTTTTGTATTTTGTTGAATGTGAGAGCCCATTTTATTAAAATGAACATAGAGTAAAATTTCTTCTCTGAAATTAGTCTCAGAATTACCTGGAGGTAAGGGAGCAATATCCTTAATAAGTTAGATTTATTTTTATCCTAAAGAATGTTTTTGAATATTTTGAGTAAAATGTAGCCTCCCAATATAATTAACATTTGCATATGAGTTTTGATTTTTATTTTAAAAACTCATTTTAATGGTTACTTATTTTCTTCAAATTGCCATTTTGACATTATTTGGCTTATATGTTAAGTGTAAATCCTTGATCTAGAAGATATAAGGCGCCCTTGTTGGTGCAGCTCAATGGATTGAGTGCCAGCCTGTGAACTAAATGGTCACCGGTTCAATTCCCAGTCAGGGCACAAGGCTGGGTTTCAAGCCAGGTCCCCATTAGGGGACACGCAAGAGGCAAACCACACACTGATGTTTCTCTCCCTCTCTTTCTCCCTCCCTTACCCTCTCTCTAAAAATAAAAATCTTTAAAAAGAAAAAAATCATAAGATTTTGCTGATGATTTGCTAGATAGCAGTAGATTAATGAGTATGTTTTAAGGAGTATGTCTTTTTATTCAGTTTTTTAAACTTACTTGCATATTTAAAATTGTGCCTTCCAATAATTAAAATCATTTAAATAAAAGAAATGTCACTCTTGGTTAAACTGCATTTTGCAGCCTGCAGGACACCTGGGACCACGTTGGTTTTTGCTGTAGATTTCACTGGTGTCCCACCCAGCTACTTCCTTTAATGTGCAAGTGTTTCCCTTCCCTGCCAGCCAGACAGGAAGATGGGAGGGGCAGGCATGGCTTTCACTGTCAGTTCTTGATTCTGTGATGGAAAAATGGGCAACACAGTCATCTAAATTTGATCCAGCATCTCTGCACCTTACACTTAAATAGCTAAAAGAAGTAAAATAAGAAGGCAGTGCTTGTGGGATGTACAGTGCATGTTGCAACACACACCGCGGTATGATTCGCCTGCTTACTTCTCCTGTTCCATTGTTTCCTTTGAAGACAGGGGCTTTTTCTCTTGTGTGTCTCTCTTCATTTTTGAATTAATCGAATTTCTTAATCACAGCCATGTCTGGTTTGTTAGATGTGGTTGCATAGGAAGTGGAGCTAGACACGTGAGCCACGGAGTTCAGTCTGCACAGTGGCCACTACCAAGTGTGTCTCATTTTTTTATTCTTAAAGATTTATTAAAAATAAAAACCTCTATTCGCTATTGGCTGCAAATCTCCTTAGTCACTTACACAGCAGTTTTCACCATGATACCCAAGTGCTTTTCAAATGGAACAGTTATCCCTGCTGAAGCAACACTGGTAGCTAGGTAGCCTATAGATGATGATGTGCGGTAATAGAATTACAGTTTCACTCCCCAATCCTCCCCATTGCCTTCTTACTTTTAGCTATTTCCATAATGAGCAATTAATTCTTTGGTTTTATAAACATTATCCTGTACTAATCTGAACATTTATAAGTTTTCTTTTCGTCATTTTTAAGTCAATGGCAGTAATGTTCAAAATAAAATGATTATATGTTTACGTATGTTACCTTTTCATTAAACATTTATCGAATACTTTGCCATACTAAGCACTAGAAATAAAAAGGTAATAGATACAGCCTCTGCCTCAAAGTTCATAGTTTATTGGGAAGGACTGAAGAATGAAACTGTCGGTTTCATAAGGACCATGGCAGTGATCTGAATAGAGAGTGAGGATAGAAGGGAAGGGCAGGCATCTAATCTAGATTCAAGAGGCAAATAGGCTTCCTGGAAGAGATGGCTAATCCAAGAGATAAGTCTTAAAAGGAAAGAGTTAGACAAAGAAGAGGTGAAGGATATTCAATGTATTACATATGAAGAGACCAACATAGGTAAAAGTTGGAAGCGTCCAGGGAGCTTTAAATAGTGATTCTAGCTACATTTCAGGACAGATATGAATGGCAAGATCTCATGGGAGGGAGGGCATGCAATCAGATCATGCTGAAGCATGTTTAGTCTTGTCTTATGCAGTAAATCCTCATTTAATGTCATGCATAGGTTCTGTTA